GGAAACAAAAAACTTTGTCCATGGAAGCAAAGAGAGGAATGTATGAGAGTATAGTCATAACAATGCTCTTATATGGGCACAAAGCATGGGTAGTGAATGTTGCAACAAGGAGAAGGCTGGAGGCAGTGGAGATGTCATGTCTGAGAGCAATGTGCGGTGTGAATATAATGCGGAGAATTCATACTTTGGAAATTAGGAGGAGGTGCGGATTACCAAAACTATTATCCAGAGGGTTGAGGAGGGGTTATTGAGGTGTTTCGGACATGTAAAGAGGGTGGAACAAAATAGAATGACTTTGAGAATGCATAAATTTGAGGTGGAGAGGAGGCGGGGTAGAGGTAAGCCTAGGAAAGGTTGGAGGGAGGGGGTAAAGGAGGTTTTGTGTGTGAGGGGCTTGGACTTCCAGCAGGCATGCAGGAGCATGTTAGATAGGAGTGAATGGAGACAAATGGTTTTTAGGACTTGATGGGCTGTTGGAGTGTGAGCAGGTTAATATTTATGAAGGGATTCAGGGAAACCAGCAGGCTGAACTTGAGTCCTGGAGATGGGAAGTACAGTGCCTGCATTCTGAAGGTGGGGTGTTAATGTTGCAGTTTTATAACTGTAGTGTAAGCGTGCCTCTGGCAAGACAGTGATGGAGTGAATAATGGTGAAAGTTTTTCTTTTTCGGGCCACCCTACCTTGGTGGGAAACGGCCTGTGTTAAAATAAAATAAAAATGTCAAAGCTGCAGGATAAAATGCTATTCCATGTTCAAGGTTTGACCTGACGACAGATTTCACAGGTGAATTTCATAATGTTAAACTTCTCTAGCCAGCCAATATATAAAAAAAAGAGCCTTCAAGAATGAAGAAGAGGTAAACCAGCTAGGGGTGGACATGATATTTATCCAAAGAGTAAGTTTAGTTAGGCATAGGTACACATAAGTATAACTATCATACATAGCGTGAATTACCTAGGATAACCCAAAAAAGTCAGACAAAGTACAAATCCCTACAAGAGGTCAAGAAGCACTGCATCCTGATACTCAAACTACCTGGTGGAAGCATATCCATAAATGAGATAACTAAGATGGGGTAAAAAAATAAAAAAATGGCACACAAGAGAGGTAACTATGTGGCCGTTCAGTGCATTCCAATCTGAAACGTAATATGGGATAATGAGCTTAACCCTTTGACTGTCGAAGGGCCAAATCCTGAAGTTGCTTCTGGTGTCGCAAAATATTCGAAAAAAAAAAAAAATTATTTTTTCTTATGAAATGATAGAGAATCTTTTCCCGATTGTAAAGACACCAAAAAAACGAAATTTGATGGAAAACTGACGGAATTACGCTCTCGCGAAGTTAGCGACTTCGGCGATATTTAAAAATCGGCAATTTCGCCCACTTTGAGCCCTATTTTCGGCTAATTCCGTTATTCCAGTCAACCAAACTCATAACTATTTCTTCAGAACTCTATTTTTTCTATCGATTGAGTACAAGAAACTGCCCATTTACCGATTTCAACTACCCAATAACATGGTCAGAAATTTGCAATTTGGCCAATTTCACGAAAATTAAAAAATATGACAATTTCAAAATAAGGTCCAGAATGAACAATGCAGACATTCCTGGCTCTAAAATAACATTTTCTTTGTTCATCAGTCATGTCTCCAGGTCCCTGTGATATTACTCTTGCTTTTTATTTTGAAATTTTATTCAAACAAAAAATAGAAGATTTACTGTTATGCAGACTACTGCAATACTGTAATAATTGTAAAAATTACATCAACCCATTCATGACTGCGTATCAGAATGGCTATTTGGACATTTATTGGACAATGACATCATTTGTTCACTTTTGAACATCGGCAAAAATCAAACATTTCCTGTACTTTGTGCTCCATTTCCAGGTTCTTTTTATAGTAAAATTAATCAAAATCACCTCCATTTCTATAATATAGTTTCCATTCTATCAAATGAGACCAAGAAAACGAGAATATAACCACAAATACTATACGAAAATAGACCACAAAGTCGGCATTTTAATTAAAAAAAACGGTCGGAGTTTTTTTTTTCTCATTATGCACTGCGTGCTCCAGGATTTTTTTTATGTGGTGCACACTGACCACACAGACCCATTCTCTCACATGTGGGCCTACTAGCTTTCTCCTGCCTGATTTGAAGCCGCTAGAATTTATGAGTATATATACGTCAAACACGGTACCTCGCAAACGTATATATACGGCCGCGACAGTCAAAGGGTTAATGGGAAGCTAGCACTTGGGGACAAACAAACACTTCATACAAAGTTACAAGTTATATGTCCTCCTCTCTGGCTTCATTATGTAAATGAAGTTTTCACTCTTTATCCTTAAGACTTTAGTTTCTTTCACTCATGTTATTACTTATCAGTGCACACCACCACCACCACCACAAACCACTACTCTCTACATGCTACTATCCTCCATTATGCTTCACAACACACACCATACTTCACCACCCTCAACCACACATCACACATATGCATTGTCCACAATACTTTCTTATACTATTTAATGGATAAGACTCCAATAAATTGGTGAAATTACTGGCAGTAAAAATAGCAAATACAGTTTTTAAATATACTTTCTACCTATTTCTTATCTCCTCCTTTTCTGACTTTGACTGGCTGGTGTCCTCATTAGATGGATAAAGCAATGGTGGCAGTGGAAACTCATGTATTACACTAGCAATCTATAAAATTTATTACAAATATATGGCTTGGACAATGTGTAAATTGCTTCTCACACCATATGTTAGGCCAAAATACTGGTGTGGTATTTGTCTAAAAACATACATGGAAAAGGATCAGAGACAAGTTACAAAATGGATTCTGAGTAAAAAGTATAAATTGTGAAGAAAGGCTGAAGAAATATAAAATCCACTGATTTCCTGAGAAAGGCAAAGACAAGACACAATTACGATTTATAAGTTCATAAAAGGATATAAAATTATATATAAAGAAGACTTCAAAGCATCATTAAGAGGGAGAACAAGAGGCCAAAGCTGTAAGTTAAGAAAAGTGATGCCAAAAAGATACTACAAAGCTTCTCTCACATAGAAAAACAATGGAATTGGACATGTGTGGTATTAAATGCTACAGTCACAGAAAATTTATAATGTACATGTATATGTATCCATGGTTGTTTAATATATTTATAGATGGGGTTGTAAAGGAAGTAAATGCTAGGGTGTTTGGGAGAGGGGTGGGATTAAATTTTGGGGAATCAAATTTAAAATGGGAATTGACACAGTTACTTTTTGCTGATGATACTGTGCTTATGGGAGATTCTAAAGAAAAATTGCAAAGGTTAGTGGATGAGTTTGGGAATGTGTGTAAAGGTAGAAAGTTGAAAGTGAACATAGAAAAGAGTAAGGTGATGAGGGTGTCAAATGATTTAGATAAAGAAAAATTGGATATCAAATTGGGGAGGAGGAGTATGGAAGAAGTGAATGTTTTCAGATACTTGGGAGTTGACGTGTCGGCGGATGGATTTATGAAGGATGAGGTTAATCATAGAATTGATGAGGGAAAAAAGGTGAGTGGTGCGTTGAGGTATATGTGGAGTCAAAAAACGTTATCTCTGGAGGCAAAGAAGGGAATGTATGAAAGTATAGTAGTACCAACACTCTTATATGGGTGTGAAGCTTGGGTGGTAAATGCAGCAGCGAGGAGACGGTTGGAGGCAGTGGAGATGTCCTGTTTAAGGGCAATGTGTGGTGTAAATATTATGCAGAAAATTCGGAGTGTGGAAATTAGGAGAAGGTGTGGAGTTAATAAAAGTATTAGTCAGAGGGCAGAAGAGGGGTTGTTGAGGTGGTTTGGTCATTTAGAGAGAATGGATCAAAGTAGAATGACATGGAAAGCATATAAATCTATAGGGGAAGGAAGGCGGGTAGGGGTCGTCCTCGAAAGGGTTGGAGAGAGGGGGTAAAGGAGGTTTTGTGGGTAAGGGGCTTGGACTTCCAGCAAGCGTGCGTGAGCGTGTTAGATAGGAGTGAATGGAGATGAATGGTACTTGGGACCTGACGATCTGTTGGAGTGTGAGCAGGGTAATATTTAGTGAAGGGATTCAGGGAAACCGGTTATTTTCATATAGTCGGACTTGAGTCCTGGAAATGGGAAGTACAATGCCTGCACTTTAAAGGAGGGGTTTGGGATATTGGCAGTTTGGAGGGGTATGTTGTGTATCTTTATATGTGTATGCTTCTAGACTGTTGTATTCTGAGCACCTCTGCAAAAACATTGATAATGTGCGAGTGTGGTGAAAGTGTTGAATGATGATGAAAGTATTTTCTTTTTGGGGATTTTCTTTCTTTTTTGGGTCACCCTGCCTCGGTGGGAGACGGCCGACTGGTTGAAAAAAAAAAAAAAAAATATGTATGTAGCCAGGTAAATACACTCATGTCTCCCTTGTCGTAGTTCGATGTTTCCAGCCTCAAGAGGCTCTAAAAATAAAAATTAGGAGATGAGAAGGTGCAGTTACTAAAAATATCCAGAGAGCTGAAGAGGAGTTGTTGAGGTGATTTTGTCATTTACAGAGGAAGGAGCAATATAGGATGACTTGGAGGGTATAAATCTTTAGTGGAAGGAAGGTGTGGTAGGGCTTATCCTAGGAAAGTTTGAAGGGAGGGGATAAAGGAAGTTCTGTGTGCAAGGGACTTGGACATCCAGCAGGCATGTGTGAGCATGTTAGATAGGAGTGAGTGGAGGAAAACGACTTCTGGGACCTGACGAGTTATTGGAGTGTGAGTGAAGTAACATTTTGTGAAGGGATTCAGTGAATAGCAGTTAGCCTGACTTGAGTCCTGGAGGTGGGAAATACACTGCCTGCACCCTAAAGGAAGGGTGGGGATATTTGTTGTTTGGAGGGTCATCTGAACTGTTGTATCTGTGCTAGAAACCTTTAAACATCTCTAATTCAAGATTATCACCATCAGTTTAGCAAAATACCTTACCCCCGGCATTCATTCATACTCACAGTGATAGTGTTTGGTCGGAAGCCTTTATCACCAGGACAGAGTTGTTTAAATTCATCTGAATCCTCAGCTGGGCACACTTCACACAAAGGCCCCCATGCTTTTCCAATAGAGCAGCAGCATGTAGACCTAGTCATTGGCTCACCCAGAGGGTCTTGGCACAATCCACGTCCTCCTCGTACGCCCACAACATGTAGATAACACCCACCCTCACGGCGATCTGTTTTAAGAAATGTAACAAAAAGGATTTAAATATTTTTCCTGCCATTAATTATCACTTATACTTTTCCACAACATATTCCAAGTTCTATTTAGATTTAATATTAGTGCCATAAATTATATACCAACACATCCAACTCCAGAGCTGATAAACTCATAGTGTGGTGGACAGTCACCATTAATGATCAATTGTACTTTACCACAACATATTTCCAGTTTTATTACCAACTTAAAATTAGTGCCATAAATTACATACCAACGCATCCAGCTCCAGAGCTGATAAGCTCATAGTGTGGTGGACAATCGCAGACATATGTTCCTTGCCGGTTTATGCATGTTCCATATTGACATACATTTGGATTTTCACATTCATCTATGTCTGTGCAGTTTCCACCAGTTTCATCTAAGTGGTAACCTTCATCACAGATGCACCGGAACATGCCAAATATGTTCTCACACTTTCCATATACACAGAGGTTGCTGAACATGTCACACTCATTAATATCTACACATTCTTGTTCATTATGAACATCAGGATGCATGAAGCCCATTTCACAATCACAATGGAAGGATCCTGGGAAATTGAGACACTGACCATTTTCACACAAGGTTGGGTCTTGAGAGCACTCATCAATGTCTTCACAGAAGAAACCATCTCCCCGGAAACCATTATCACATACACACTTAAAGGATCCATCTTTGTTGACACACTGGGCATCATGATCACAGCCACCATTATTGGTGAGGCACTCATTTACATCTCGACATGTCTTACCATTACCTGAAAATTTAATCAGCAAGATAATATTCCTTTCTGATTAACTGCATAGATTCATATGGTGAAATGACATTAATAAATATAAATTACAGTTTTATGTAAAAAACCTATGAAGTATGATAAAGGGCAACAGCTCTAACTTGGGCAGTTTTATAATTTAAGAAATAAGTGCTATACCTGTGAAACCGTCTCGACAGCGGCATTCATAGGTGCCATCAATGTTAACACACTCAGCATTCTGGTCACAGCGGAAAGAACCCAAGGAACATTCATCATCATCGGTGCAGCCAGGGCCAAGCTCTGCCTTGACACTGTAGCCGTTTTCACAACGACATGCGAATGATCCCACTACATTGTCACATTTACCATTCTGGCACAGATTTGGGTTCATTTCACATTCATTAACATCTGCAAAATGACAAAAATAATTTACTCAAAGAGGATTCCCATTAAAAAAGTGAACTTTTATATTCCTCCTCAGTTATCAATACCTTCACTTAACAAAAGCCCTTGACAAGAGTTGCAACTTACCAATACATCCAGGACCATCAGCATCGGGAAGGAGGCCTCCCTCACAGATGCACATGTAGCTGCCGGGTGTATTGGTACACACACCACCTGCACATATGTTTGCATTCTCTAAAAAGAAAACACTAATATAATTACATGTCTGCAGAACCATTTTAATACACTTCAGAAAACCCCCGTGCAACACATATTTCAATTATATTTCTAGCTTAATACAGTTCATGATCTAATATCCCTGATGCACATAGCTCAGCACTTTCTTTTTACATAAAAATATAAAAAGTCACAGTACCATGGTTAGATCTATTCACTGAAAACTTGCACTTAGGAGAGAACTATTACCAAATCACAACTGAATGAGAAAAAGGCAGAGAATGCCAGAAGACAGAAGCAAGAGGAGGAAGAAAGAAGAGGAAAATTAAAAAAAAATATCTGGAAAAGGAGGAAAACAAGTAGTAGTAGCAGTAAAATAAGTGGTAGAAATAAGAGTAGACAGAGCAGCGGAGTAGTAGTGACAAACTTAGGAATAGTGGTAGTAGCAGTAGTAGTGCCAAAGAACAAGAGTACAGGGAAGCACATGGTTGAGCTTGGATTAAAATATGGGAACTTGCAAAACCATGCCATATTAGACAATTTATGTATGATGAACATTCTAAATGTGAGTACTGTATTAACTGTAAGACAATCACAATCTCAAAATTTACGATTAATAAGAAGAAAGATTGCATTACTCATAAACTGCTTATTGCCTAAACCCTGGCAGAGTGGGATGCCCACACTTCCACTTAAGTCAGTATAGTCATGCAGAAATCTCACTCTGTCCTATGAAAAAGAAAAATTTTGCACTGAGATTTTAGTACAGTACATTAATTCATGTAGGGTGTGGGCATTTTTCCAAACACTGGAAGATAGGGCTCTATATGATAAAAGCTATGGTGACCCTTATCACTCCCAACAAGAGCAACAAGTAATGAATGAAAAATAACATGGAGAAAGTGAATACAAAAAAGTATTATATTCTTAGAAAGTTTAATTAGCGTGGCGTTAAAAGATAAAGAATCACACATAAAGTGGGAGTTGTCACAGTTGCTCTTTGCTGATGACACTGTGCTCTTGGGAGATTCTGAAGAGAAGTTGCAGAGATTGGTGGATGAATTTGGTAGGGTGTGCAAAAGAAGAAAATTAAAAGTGAATACAGGAAAGAGTAAGGTTATGAGGATAACAAAAAGATTAGGTGATGAAAGATTGAATATCAGATTGGAGGGAGAGAGTATGGAGGAGGTGAATGTATTCAGATATTTGGGAGGTGAATCATAGAATTGATGAGGGGAAAAGGTTGAGTGGTGCACTTAGGAGTCTGTGGAGACAAAGAACTTTGTCCTTGGAGGCAAAGAGGGGAATGTATGAGAGTATGGTTTTACCAACGCTCTTATATGGGTGTGAAGCATGGGTGATGAATGTTGCAGCGAGGAGAAGGCTGGAGGCAGTGGAGATGTCATGTCTGAGGGCAATGTGTGGTGTGAATATAATGCAGAGAATTCGTAGTTTGGAAGTTAGGAGGAGGTGCGGGATTACCAAAACTGTTGTCCAGAGGGCTGAGGAAGGGTTGTTGAGGTGGTTCGGACATGTAGAGAGAATGGAGCGAAACAGAATGACTTCAAGAGTGTATCAGTCTGTAGTGGAAGGAAGGCGGGGTAGGGGTTGGCCTAGGAAAGGTTGGAGGGAGGGGGTAAAGGAAGTTTTGTGTGCGAGGGGCTTGGACTTCCAGCAGGCGTACGTGAGCGTGTTTGATAGGAGTGAATGGAGATGAATGGTTTTTAATACTTGACGTGCTGTTGGAGTGTGAGCAAAATAACATTTATGAAGGGGTTCAGGGAAACTGGCAGGCCGGACTTGAGTCCTGGAGATGGGAAGTACAGTGCCTGCACTCTGAAGGAGGGGTGTTAATGTTGCAGTTTAAAAACTGTAGTGTAAAGCACCCTTCTGGCAAGACAGTGATGGAGTGAATGATGGTGAAAGATTGTCTTTTTTGGGCCACCCTGCCTTGGTGGGAATCGGCCAGTGTGATAATAAAAAAAAAAATACATTTAACAAAAAGGAGAGCAGATGATAGAGTGGGAGAGGCAATGTCAAGAAATTTTAATGAAAATAAGAAATAGAATAGATTTGTCAGTTAAAAACAGAGTAGGGAAGTTAGTAGATGGGGAGATGGAGGTTTTGGGAAGATGGCGAGAATATTTTGAGGAACTTTTAAATGTCAGCGAAGAAAGGGAAGCGGTAATTTCATGCACTGGCCAGGGAGGTATACCATCTTTTAGGAGTGAAGAAGAACAGGATGTGAGTGTGGGGGAGGTGTATGAGGCATTAAGCAGAAGGAAAGGAGTTAAAGCAGCTGGAACTGACAGGATCATGACAGAAATGTTAAAAGCAGGGGGGGATATAGTGTTGGAGTGGTTGGTATTTTTGTTTAATAAATGTATTAAAGAGGGGAAGGTACCCAGGGATTGGCGGAGAGCATGTATATTCCCTTTATATAAAGGGAAGGGGGACAAAAGAAGATTGTAAAAATTATAGAGGAATAAGTTTACTGAGTACAGTAGGGCCCCACTTATACGGCGGGTTAGGTTCCAGGCTGTCGCTGGAAAGCAGACATCGCCAGAAGGCAGAACTCCGTTTTTTCCATTTATAAATGCATATAAATGCCAGACAACAAGTTTACACTAAATTATATTGGGTTAGTAATAGAACTAGGCATTAAAAACACACAAAGTAAAATACAGTCACAGTAAATTCATTACTTATCTTAAAGTATTTGTAATCTTAATGTAGGGAGAGAGGTGAGTAGTACTTATTTGTAGGAAGTCAGGTGCAGGTAGCCCAGGTGTAGGTAGCACTGGCTCCCCGTCTCATACTTAATATACGGTAAAATGCACATACAGTACACTCATTATTTACCTTAAAATATGTGTAGTCTTAATATAGGAAGAGAGGTGAGTAGTATTTATTTGTATAAAGTCAGTGTAGGTAGCCGGTAGGTGTAGCCTGGGCTACACCTACCGGCTACCTACACTGTGGCCCAGAGCCATATTGTTAACATTGACATGCCTTGTTCACTGAATTTAATTATTTCTAACAACTACCTTTAGATGCCATCATAAACGAAGGTAGAAATAATGAATAATTCATGCCGAAAATTGTAAACAAAAGCGGAGTGGGGGAGTGGCTGGGCCAAACGCAGATTCATGCACGTTTTCTCTGATGGCTGAGCAGAGAAAACGTAATGTTGTCCCTCCACCCGGCTCCACAAGTATTATTATCAGAGCATATAAAATATGCAATAAATGCCAGACAACAAGTTTACACTAGCTCATATTAAGTTAGCAATAGAAATATGCGTTAAAAACACAATAACAGGTAAGATACACACAGAGTACACTTATTACTTACCTTAAAATATTAATATTAATGTGTGAGAGGTGAGTGGCAGGGTGTTTATTGAATAAAATCAGAATGACACACCATCATCCTCTAACTTGGCACTTAAAGCAAGAGGCTTACGACTTCTCTTTTTATTACAGCTAACCTTTGATGCCATCGCCAATGAGAGCCAACTAGTTAACGAAAGAGTAAACGAGAGAGAGAACGAGATACAGAGTTGAGACAATGTAAGAACACAAACTGAACAGGTAGTGGACGATCACTTAGTCAGGCGAAATAAATGCGTATTAATATGTGTCTACTTTTAGTTCATTCACGTCCATTGTAAGAGTTTGTAAAACATTTCCCCTCAATTTTTTTTTTTTTTTAATAATTCCCTCACAATACAAATACTTTTACTTTTTGGTACAATTTGTACAATTTAAAATTCAGAAAAAAACAAACAGCAACACCCCTTTTTTAGAGTGAATGAAGATAAAAATAAATAATAATAATAATAATAATAATTAAAAATTTTACGTATGGTTGGTAACGCAACCAAACCAGGGGGGGTACTCCCGTCCTCCCAAGGAGTGAAAAAGAAAGCCTGTAATTTGTTTTACAGATGGTAGGATTGCGGGTGTTTTTTTGTCTGTCCATAAATATCAAGATTACGGGACGCTTGCTCTTCTCTGCTACTTCTCTTACACTTGGCACACTACACATACATGTACAGTTTATTTATACCACTCACTGAGTTTTTTTGTTTTTATTTTAATAGTTCTTGGTCTTTTTTACTTTTTTTTTATACCAGGGGGAAGTGGAATAAGAATCTTTCCTCCATAAGCCATGCGTGTTGAAAAAGTAAAACTAAAATGCCGGGAAAAGGGGCTGAAACCCCCTTTTTCCTGAAAAGATTACTAAAAAGAATAAAAAGAAGAAAATTGTAAAAGTGGGAAGTCTGAATGTGCGTGGAGTTGTGAAAAAGATAGAAAGAGATGATGTGGAGTTATGAATGAAAAAGAAACTGGAGCCCTGGCTTTAATGAAACAAAGCTGAAGGGGGTGGGGGGTTTCAATGGAAAAGAATAAATGGGATTAGGTCGGGGGTTTAAAATAGAGTTAGAGCTAAAAAAGGGAGTAGCAAAAATTTTGAAGGATAAGCTATGGCGGGAAAAGGGGGACTAAAAAGTATAAATTCAAGGATTATGTGGAGTAAAATAAAGATGGATGTGAAAAGTGGGTTATAGTAAGGTGTATGCACCGGAGAAGAGAGAAGTGGAGGAGAGAGAGAGATTCTGGGAAAGTTGAGGAATGCGGGGGGAGTTTTGAATCAAGTGTGGAGTAATGGGGGTTTTGGGGATTTCATTAAAGTGGGTAAAATGTTATGGAGGGGTATAGGTAAATTTGGGGTGCCAGGGGTAAATGAAATGGGGGAAGCCTTTAATTGAGCTATGTGTGAAAGAAATTTGGTAATAAATAATAATATTTTATGAAAAAGAGGATAAATAAAAAATACAAGGGATAAGTAGCAAAGTAAGAAAGTAGTTTGTTAGTTTGTATTGGTGGATAAAAGGTGATGGGAGGCCCAGGATTACATGTTTATAGAGGGGGAACTGAATATGGATCATTTTTTGTTGTAGTACGTAGAGTAAAAGGTAATGGGGAAAAAAGGGGAAAGGGGGCAACAACAAG